AGTTATATGTTGTCACCCCTACCAGTTATAAAATAAAGGTCTCCACTTCAGTAGTATAACATTGATGGATATTCTGGTGTACTCATCCTGCGCTCTTCGTGAAACCAGAGTACCAAGTGTCCGCAAGTTGACTTGCCCACTGAGCCGAGGAAATGTAGGGCTAATGAGCAGAAAACAATTATCCCATCGTTACGTGCCATTAAGCCCCCATCCCGACCTGGGGTAATGACGCATACCGGATCAGTCATGTTGACGGACACTATTCTGACATTGTCAGGTAAGGCAAAGTTCGTGCAGTGATGCCGTACATAATCAAAATTACGGAGACTACATATCTTACGACGGCTCACAAATGATACTCACTAAAAGGGCAACTGAAACGCTTGATTAGTTATTTGTGTGTGAGGAGTGAGCATTCACAACAGGTTTTCAGAACCAGCTTAATTTAGCTAATGGTCTTTATGGTGCATTTTTCATTAAGCATAATTGGCATGTTGGTTTTATGAATAATATATTTCACACTACATTGATTAAGTGGGGTTTTTAATAGAAGTGAAATTAGCTAGATGAGTTTGCAAGTAAATTGCACTTGTTTTGCTTTGAAAGCTTGAGGTGATGTAGAAGTCGCTTTTAATCATCTGTTCATTTTCTGATTGCTCTGATAATGCATAGTTAACTTTGCATTTGCTTAGGAGATCAGACTATTAATAATACACACGCTTGGTCTTCCGCCAAGATTGCATTACTGAATCATAACATTATTGTCATGTCTGATAATGGGTATGTTTTTCTGCTGAAATACAATATTACAATATACATGATTGCCTGTACAAGAATGGTAATCACTAATATGAAATACTGAATATAATTTCTGATTTGCAGCCGTGGTAAATACCTGCTATGGGACATACTGATTTTTATCCTCAACATCATAAAATGAATAGTCAATGCCGGGTAGATTCAACTCTACTGTATTTATAAAGCACTTTTAACACCACGAGTGGAACCAAAGTGCTGTACAAAGACAGATAAAAGAGAAAATAAAAACAAAAAATACATAAAATCAATGCAGACATATGACATACACAGCTTACAAAGCATTTTCAAATGTTTTTTTGTAAAAGATTACTTATAAAAAGTAGTCCATTACTGATTACGAATTACATAATGGAAATTGTAGTTAGTAAAATAATCTGGTGAATTACACATTTTAGGTAATGTATTCTAACTACTTTTTGATAACTTTTAGATTACTTTTGACCTAACTCAATCAACGCATTACATTACGTCAAGGTTTCCCAAACTAGGGTTCCTATAAGAACTGCAGGGGGTTTGTGAGGTGATGAAAAGCTAATAATCAATGAATTCACAAAAATGTCAAATTAAACTAATTGTGTGGATTTTCTGTGTAATTATAGTCACCTGCTTAGTGGCTGGTGTGTACAGTTCCATAAAACTGGAAGACTTTCCAAAAGTATATAAGCGGTAGGATTTTTTAGAAAGGAAAACTGGAGAGAAAAATGAAGAAATAGGGTGAATCAATAAGTTAGGAATAATTGACTGCCACTGTGTACCCAAAAAAGAAAATTCTGGTCATCATGCTGTTTTGAACCTATATGACTTTCTTTCTTCCTTTGAACACAAAAGAGGAAGCTTTTGAATGGTGCTGCTCTTTTCCATAAAATGAAAATCTGTGAATTGTGACTAGAGGCTGTGAAGCTCCAGAAACTGTATTCAACTGTATCCAAAAAAGTAGCCAAACAACTCATGCACCCGAAGCTTCTGAAGCCATACGATAGCTTTGTGTGAGAAAGAACACTGAAACGTAAGTCATTACTGAAAAGTTTCTAATTTGCTGTAGCTCTCAAGAAATCTCGTTCATGGTTGCATATAAAATTTATAAAACATGCCATGCTACATCTCCATTAGTGGTCTACAAAAGAAGGAAAGTCACAGAGGTTAAATAATGCCATCATTTTCATTTTTGGGTGAACATTCAAAGCACCTTTTCAATACCACCAACTACCTGAATGTAATTTTGGTCCTTACAGGCTTAGCATAAGGCTCACCTTCTGTCTACAGAATCCTCAGCAGAGACGAGGACGGACAGTACAGTGTGTCCTCCACTCCAAAGACAAAGAGTGTCTCTCAGAAGCCCTGTACGCAGCAGAGCGGAATGTGTAATGCTCTAACGAGCACAATGACAAACAAAGGGTGTGAACGATTAATCCACTTAGTTTAGCTGCGTGTGTGTTTCTATGATTACAAAGATGGGTCGAATTTAATTAACCAAGTGATTTTTCACTGGAATACGATGCACCGCACGTGTACAAACACTTAGAGTTGTAAGTTGTAATCTCTTTTTAATATTCCAAATAAAATGTATTATGCTTTATGATTATTGATTTATTTTGTATTTATTATTATTTTTATTACATTGACTTATGCTTTACTTTTTTGATTACATGCCAAATTCTCACTTGGGGTTGGGCTTAGTAAGAATGTAATGCTTTTGAAAGAAGTGCTTACTAAGGCCGCATTTATTTATTCAAAGTTACAGTAGGACCAGTAATGAAATATAGTTGAAATATTATTAAAATTTTAAATAACATTCATTTTAATAAATTGTAATATGTAATTTATTCATGTGATGGCACAGCTGATTTTTTTAGCAGCCATTAATCCAGTCTTCAGGGTCATATGATCCTCCAAAAATTTTAATTTGCTAATTTGGTGCTCAAGAAACATTTCTTATTATTACCAATGTTGAATACAGTTGAGGTGTTTAATATTGTGGAAACCGTGATCTGTGCTCTGTTTGATTGACAGGCATCATTACAGATTAATATTTGTTTTAACCGTGGTTGCAGCCTCACTTGAGAGCTTCTAAGACATCATTGCATTTCTGCAGGTTATTAAGAACATTTATAGATTAAGTCACACAACAAAATACCCACAAAGCACACAAAACAGTCTTTCTCTTCTATTGCCAGTCTCTGAAGTCCACTCTGTGTCAGTACATTTTTAGCGCACTGGCAGTCCATATCTTGGCTTGCCTGTGACATTGTAGGGTGCGCAAATGTTTGTATATGTGTGTGTGTGAGGAAGTTTTGGGGGGTGGGGAGGGGGGCAGTCTGCCAGGGCCTTTGGGCGACATATCGCCATCTGGGAGGTATGACCCTGGAACTGCGAGGTTTCCGTGGAAACTGGCTGTAATAGAATCATGACTGGGGTGCAGCAGAGGGCAGAAAGTGTAAGAAAATGGGTAGAGTCAGAGAGCGAGCGACAGAGAGAGCAAGAGAGGGGGTTGCTGTCAAGTGCCCTGTTTGGAGCAGCAGGATTAAACCTGGCACGTAGGGAAGCACATTCAAGGTCAACTAAGAGACAGCAAAGGAAAAAAAATAAATAAAAAATACGGATAAATGTGAAAAGCATGAGCTACAGTAAGTATGATATTTAAAATATACACTCACTGTAGCTGGTTTGCTCATGTTGATATTTATGGACTTCCGTTGACTTATGAGAGAAGTGTTATTGTGCTATATGTATCCTCCTTAACACATCGCTCATGATGAGACAAACGAATAGTTCACCCAAAAATGAAAATCCTGGCATTATTTGCTTCCCTTATGAACATTCCAAACACAGCTAGAACGGAAGTCAAGATTTACAGTGAATAACGATCACTTTGTATCATATGGCTTCAGAAAACTTGGAATATAGCACATGACTCATACAAACTACTTTTATTAGACTTTTATGTTGTTTTTGTGTCTTTTTAAAGCTAGAAAGCCTTGCTTTCCATTCTTTGTAACTGCATGGAAATAAGCGAACAGCACAATTCTTTAAAATCCACTTTTTGTGTTCTACAGAGGAAAAAAAGTCAGGATTGAAACACCTTTTTTTGATTAACTGCTCCTTTGAATCATTGTAATTAATGGTGAATGTTCATACACCAATATTTGAATATTTAAGTATATTTTTATAATAAAAAGTAATTTATTTTAAAATTAAAATGTGTCACCAAAATGTTGGCATCCATCCCTAATGGAGAGTTCAAAAGACTGAAAAAGTGAGAGATGCAAAGAAAAAGCGAGAGAAGCAGGTGCAACTTTGTTACATGCAGACGCTAATGAAGTGGATAATATATATATCAGATCAGATATATCCCAGATAATCAGATATTTTCCACACTAGACTTTTCACATCAGCTAATGACTCAGGTGTGCTTGAGACTAGCTGTCTGCAATAAACCTACACTTCATACAATTCCCTACAAGACAAGACTGTAGCAGTACACAAGGGAAATGTTACACGGTTATGCAGTTTGTGATATAATTTTAGCTCATAATTCTTTATTGTCTAGCGTGCAGTCACTCCACAAAGAACAGCAGAGTATGTAGCAGTAGAAAGACATTGCTGCTTATCTCATTTGGTTTTAAGCAGCCAATCTGCCCAAGGCTTTATAGCTAACAATAGATTCATGTTGCGCCCTAGGGATGGCGATTCTTCAAGGGAAATAAAAACAACCGCACACACACTAGACTGTATTAGGTTTTCAGTGCTTTCATTAACAAAAAATGGTTGATATGATTGATGATCCGCCACTGGACACAGATTGTGTAATGCATTTCAAACAACAGCAATTTCAGACAAGCTACTTTGTCATCTGAAAGAAATTTAGTAATTGTGGCATCCTGATTACAAAAGTCAGATGAGTAATCAATACATGTTGGGCGGTAGGCGATGAAACAGTGAGAGTGAGCACTCAGATGTTGGTCAGTTTCAAAGCACTCTATAGAGAGTCAGCAAAAGGGAAGCTATTAAAACCACTGAAGGCCAGTGAGTGAATATCATGAAATCATAATAGCACAAATCTGCTTTTCTCTACTGCAATAAAAAGGTCCTGGGAGTTATTTTTTTATATAGGTGTCAAGGTCTAATCACCTTTAGCATGCAATCTTATGTTTACGTTTGTGTGTGTGTGTGTGTTGACTTACAAACTCTGCCGTAGCTCTGCTGTGTCTCTGGATGTTCCCAGCGATTGAAGGTTCTTCTCTAGTGTTACCACTGAAAAGAACAGACAGAAACTTCTGTTTTTAAATTTGTCACTTTCACCTCACGACTCATACCTTATGCCATCCAAGTTCCGAATATTTGGAGGCTTTTTAAACTCACCGTTAGCATTGATCTGAAAGATGTTAGAGGAGGTTTCCTGGAAGACATCTTGCAGCTCTGAGGGACTGATTTGCGTAGCTGTAGAGGAAAAACAGTATTTACATATTGACAAAATTTTATTTAAATTGCAAGCACAGCCTTTAAAGATGATGTCTGGTAATTTATTGGATGTTAAAATTGTATCCCAGCCAATTTATTCTAAATTAGTGATATTAAAACAAATAGTTCAGACTCAAATCTGATTGGATGAGCATGAAGGATCATGTGATTCTAAAGACTGGATTAATGACTGCTGAAAATTCAGCTTTGCCATCACAGGAATAAATTACATTTTAAAATAGAAAACGGTTATTTTAAATTGTAATATTATTTCACAATATTACTGTTTTAACTGTATGTGTGTATATATATATATATATATATATATATACACACACACATATGTATATATTTTTAAATAAATTAGTGAGCAAAATATTTACTTCTTTCAAAAACATAAGAAATCATTTTACAAACCACTCATTTTTGGTAGAATATTTATGTATTTATTTATTGATGTATTATAAATAGGACAAAGAACTTTGTAATTAATTATAAATATTTATTCATTATAATATACACAATACATCATTTATGTTTAGTTATTAAAGCAATAGGCCACTTGAGGCCATGCGTTTAGGCTTTAGGAAACTATCACTATAATTACACAATGCTTTGACTAAGATTATGCATATAGTTTCTCTTTATTTAGCTGGCACATTCATGAGGGTCTCCATATTTCAGCTAAGTGAAGCCAAACAAAGCAGAATCAAAAACACACCAGGTTTCTGGGCAGTAGCTAGAGTCGTGAGCCACCAAAATGGGCGTGTGGGCACAGTCATTTTCTTCATCAAAAGCATGTATCATGCACACCCTCATAGGAACAGATAATCATCAAGAGCTCTTAATAAAAATCCACTGCACAACCTCTGTATCAATGTACAACGCACTGGCGCTTTGCACATGCACACAAATATGTCGTCTGTCAGCTTTTGTCTACCTCTGCACTCAAAATGACTGTAATTGACGTGCTGTTTTTCACAACTCTTCATCTGTGCTCTAATGCACTCACTCTTGAGAGGGGAAAATCGCAGGCAGTCATTTGCGCATATGCATATTCTACTCTAAGAGAGGGTTTGGATTTGGTACAGAAGACACAGGTAAAGACAGAAAGGAGGAGGAAAAGGGAAGAGCAGCAAATATTCCTGTCCATGATTCTTGTTGGTCCACTGAAGCATGCATGCGGCGCCCAAAATAATTAACTTTTTTTTACAAATAAGGGAGAAACCCTTCAGGAAGAAAAAAAGAACTCATGAATGCTGCTCAGGAGGATGCTAGAGGGAGTCGAAACCCCCATTTATTTCTACAATCATGCTTCAATTACCATTAAAGCAGAATGTTGAGAGCTTCATGGCATCACACTGAGATTCAAAAGTATTAGGAAAAAATAAATCTAAATTTAGCATTACATCACTCGCTCACCAATGGATTCTCTGCAGTGAATGAGTGCCATGAGAATGAGAGTCCAAACAGCTGATAAAAACTTCACAATAATCAACAAGTAATCCCCACGAGTCCACTCCATCAATTAACACCTTGTGAAGTGAAAAGCTGCATGTTTGTAAGAAACAAATCCAACATTAAGGCACTTTAACTTTAAACCATCGATTCTGGTTTAAATACCAGAATTATAATCCATAATAATGATTCCTCCAGTAAAAAAAATGTCCATTTACTGTCGTCCTCTCGCTTCAAAATCTACCAACATATTTATTTAAACTCTGTGTTGGGCTGTTTTCACTTGTAAATGGTGGTTGTTCTGTGCATATTTCTCTCCTGATTCACATGAGACGACTTTTTCAGCTGGAAGCAGATGTTTGTAAGTTAAACTTGTAATGATGGATTTTTTATTTTTTTTTAACAGACAGCTCTTCACTTCACAAGATGTTAATTGATGGACAGGAGTCATGTGGATTACTTGCAGTTTATTATGATGTTTTTATCAGCTGTTTGAACTCACATTCTGACGACACCCTTTCACTTCAGAGGATGCATTAGTGAGCAAGTGATGTAATACTATATTTCTCCAAATCTGTTCTTAAGAAGAACTCATCTACATCATGGATGGCCTGAGGGTGAGTCATGTTTAAGCAAATTTTCATTTTTGGGTGTTATTTCTTTAAGAATGTTTCATCGTAAACAAAAGCCTCAGAATAGGACACATTGTTGACTGTAACAATGAGCTGACTTGTATAGGCAATATCAGTAAATATTGATCATCACCGAAATGTTCTCAATGCTAAAACATGATAAATTACATTAATAATCAGTTCAGGAGCAAGAAAATGCAGACTTCTTGACATTGCACATGTGAATAATAGTTCAGCAGATTAAAAATAAAAATATGTTACGTATGAGTATTACATGACAGCGAGAAGCGTGTGACATTATCTAATTGACTGCTTCCAGCCAGATGTGTGTGTGTGCACTACAAAAGTGATAAGCTATTCTCAGTGGATCATTTTTTCAGGGAAACAACCTTTTGTGCCCTTACTGTTATCTCCACTGGCCTCCAGCTATGCGCACACCTGTCATTCTCTCTCCTCCATCACCGTGATAGATGGATGTTCCAAATTCATTCCACTCTGCATTGAGCAGTATCCCTTCATATACAGTAGGGGTGGGCTAAGAAGGAGGAACCACAAGTGCACTACTCCCTGTGCGCATGTGAGAAGACCCAGCAGGATTATCTCTCACCCTTTTATAAGACCTAGATTCAGCTAAACTGACATCACACACACACTTATTGTGTTGGGAATCTGACATTTTTCCTATCGCCTATGGTGCTATTTGTCTATTTGTTATTTGTTATGTGTCTGTGCCACAGTCAAATATCATTCTAGTTGTTCCGTGTAAACTGAAACTAGAATATTTTGAAATATTATTATATAAGGCATTTTATTTTCATGTATACCGTAATAAGTGGAGAATATTGTAAGAACACAAAGTGATTACTAAAATAACCCATTCATTTCTATGTGGAAAAATAAGAAATTAAATAAAGAAATATAAAAAAAAAAAAAACATACTGACATCTTTTTAAACTTCAATATAAGAAAACAATAATAATTTTAGCATATCAAAAATTATATTAAAAATAAATATTTATTATACACTATCTGGCTTTTGGCTGACTGCAATAAAAATATATTTAATAAAAACTTCACTAGCAACTGTCTATTGTTCTATTGTTATTATTGTTTCTGCAGTGCATTCAGCTTATACCATTCAAGATATAGACTCTATGGACAAAATTTGAATGATGTGAAATCTGAATTACAGCACATTTACATTCAAATAATAATTTAAGGTCCTGTGAGTGACAAATGAGGCCACTGTTCAGCCAATCACAAGACTTTGAGGTGCTTTCTATCTGTCAATCATTTTGCTATATCTTTCAGGGGTGTTTTGTAAAGAGGTAGTGTGTCTAATTCAGTGGCTAAGTTCCAGAACATTGCTTAACTTGAAACTACACTGAACCCAAAGAACAAAGTGGGGGAAAAAACAACAACAAAAAAAATGTACAGTTAATGTGCTCTGTGTGTGTAATTTGCATTAAGCCCGACAGATGTCTTTTTTCAAACAATGGATGAGTAGTTCACTTCAGTATGTTATATTTCTGCATTAAAGCCTATATTGCAAAAGACTGTGTTGACAAAGAGGTTTAAAGCACATTTTCTATGTTGTGTAGCTATGCTTCTGCTACACAACACCTACACTACAGGACAGGTACTACTTAAGATGTTCTCTGTATTTCTCAATTTTAATTTTATTTTAACTTCATACTTTTAAGCTTTTTTTTTAAGCTTGGAAAACTCCCTTAAACTTAAATAGAATGTACATTCAAAATGTAACCACGATACTATAATGACAATATTTACATACTTAATTGTGATCATTCTTACATTTTTATTTATTTATTTGTTTATTTATTTGCATTATAAATAATATACACTCAACAGAAAACAAAACACAACGAGTGTCATGAAAAAGGTTCTGGCATTTAATTTAAAATAGAACCAAATCCTAAAACCTGAGGCAAGCTTATATTAAAACTTTGAAGCTGATAATTTCTTCTGGAAATGGAATTCTACTTATCTATAATATCAATATGTTTCAATAATTGTATTAAATCATATACTTGTTAGATCCTTCATGAATCAGCTAAACTTTGAAGATTAATTGAAAACAGAACAGAATGTCATAGATAGATATATACATCTACAGATATTTCTATCTATAAAGCTGGCACAACAAATAATGTCCATTTTCTTTTAAAATATAATAGAAAAGTGCGGAACATGATGCAAATTCAGAAGGGAAAAAGCATAGTCTATCACGGAAAGTTATGGAAAGTAGAAGAGCTCAGAAAGTGCATCTTTGGATGTGAGAGTATAGGAGCCTCTGGAAATAAACAGAGACAAAAAGTGTTGTAGGAAATGCTGAAAAACAAAACTACAAAACACTTTCTCTAGTCTGTGGTGAGAAAATTGATCTTAAATATCTGGGACACAGGACAAATGAACTTCTGCCCTTTCTGAATTGTTTGTCGAGGCTGCAAATGCAGATTCTGCATGGTGTTCAATTATACTCTCAAATCAGGAAATTACTTAATCAAAAGCATTCTCCTTGTTATGCATGAGGTCAGCATGTGGCTCTCTCTCACACACACACACACACACACTCACTCGGAAAAACGCAAACTCAAACACTAGAACGTAATCCCATGTATTGCCTGAGAGCTGTGACAGAGGGTAAAAAAAAAAAAGCTGAGCTGAGGGAGAGAGGGGTTTATAGGCCAGAGATGGCTGTCAGACGATATGTGTGATACAGTGTGAGATGGGTCCTTATCCCCGCAGTGCAAGCACCGGGCCTGTCGCACATTGACTCACTAAGGAAAGCAAAGCATGTATGAATGCTTGAAGAACTGACATGGTAGTTTTAGTCAAAAAATGCTGAAATCATCATTCAGTTTTTAT